CAGCAGCTTTAAACGTTCATAGCGATCTGGTTTCTGCTCCGAATGACCTGATTCAACTTGGATCTGGAGTGTCCTAACGTCGCACGATTTCACCAAGTATTGACGACACAGCGTCGGTTTGAACGAACGGCACTATGGCAGCCACTATAGTCTTAGAACACAAATTAGGAAGAGTTACGAGTCGGTTACGAGTTGACTCCCAGCTCCTACAAACCCCAAGAGCCGAGGTACAGTGATTTGGAACAGTGCCACACTGTCCCCAACCACGAAGGGTCTCGAAACTACCCTCCACAAGGGCCTACACCAAGAGAAATGTTACACTACCGAAAGTAATGTAGCTATTCTCAATATCTTGAAGTGTACCCTTTTCGCGGGCTTCGCGATCACTTGAATCTTGAAACCAAGGCTCTGGTTCTTCATCATAAACTCATCCTTGAGTTCTTGATGGGTCTGCTGCACACACCTGCGACACGCCGAACGTTCCACACACGACAAAATAGAAACTGTGCACGAGACACACGACAAAATAGAAACCGCGCACGGGACACAAACAAACGACGACGTAGACACGCGACTAGCGATGACTCGCTATTGACTCGACACACACACATTCGACATCACGACTCATCATTCATACATTATTATAAGCATGAAATATATATTATATCATGCCCTCATACCATTCCATGCACACACGCATGCACGCACACAAACAACAAGCCGAGTGCAAAACCGTAGGGTTGCACCATCAAACTCCCCCTCGGATTGTTGGCCTTAGGATCTGTTGCTCTCAGTTCAGAGCCATTCCAGCCAACTTGCAACACGTCCAATGCTGCTGCTCCACCAGCCTCTTGGTCATCATGTCTGCCGGCTGCCCCGTCGTCTTCACGTAGTGCAGCTCAACTTCACCCGCGGCCACCATGCTCCTCGTCCAGTGCCATTTCACCCTCATGTGCTTGGTGAGGCCGTGCAGTACAGGGTTCTTAGCAAGTGCAATGGCACACTGGCTGCCACAGCAGAGTGGGGTAGGTCCTTGCTGCTCCTCCCCCAATTCAGCCAACAAGTGCCGCTGCCACACAATCTCCCGTACGGCACGGAAGAGTGCCATGTACTCGGATTCCACCGAGCTCAATGCTTGGTCGACTTGCTTTTTACTTTCCCAAGCAGTTGGGCCTCCACCAACACAGCAGATGAAGCCTCCCACACTTGTCATGTCCTCTGGTTCCGATGCATATGAAGCATCCGAGTAGGCGGTGAGGAACAAACGCCCGGGTTCTACACCATCCGCGCCCTTTTGGCGCCTTTGCGCTGCCGCCGAGTATTGCAGCCCAACGGTCGGTGTTTGGCCAAGATACTTGGCCACCCTCATTCTAGCTGCTACCTGCTCCTCATTAGAGCATTGCACAACCCTAGCCAGCTGCCCCGTAGCAAAGGCGACGTCCGGTCGGGTGTTTACCGCCGCGTACATGAGGTTGCCCACCAACGAGTGAAAACGGCGCCTCTCCTCTTCTCCAACGCTCTCCTCCTCTGGTCCCTTCACACACTTGAACCCAGAAGGGAATGGAGTAGCCACATGACCTTCACTCTGCCCAAAGTTGGCAGCCAAGGCCTCCAGGTACTTGCGTTGATGCACCCGCATGCACCGCTTCTCAACATCACGTTCAATGTGAAGCCCGAGGTAGAAGTTGACGTCACCAAGGGCCTTGCACATGAACTTGTCCTGAAGCTTCAGCATCACCTCCTTCACAAGGTCAGAGGAGGGTGAGAAAATGAGAATGTCGTCCACATAGACCACCATGAAGCTCCTCTGCTCCCCCTCGCCAAGCATGAACAAGGAGTGATCGGTCGTTGAGGGAGTGAAGCCGATCTCCTCTAACACTTCGCGCAGCTTCAAGTACCATTGCCTAGGGGCCTGCTTCAGCTCATGGAGGGCATTCTTCAGCTTCAAAACTCTGCCACTCCCATCATCAAACCCCTCTGGCTGCACCAAGAAAAAACTCTTCTTCGAGAATGCCGTTGAGGAACGCGGTTGTCACGTCCATCTGCTTCACCACCCATCCTTTGATGGCAGCCCCCGCGAGTAGGGTCCGCAGCGTCGTCGGCTTCACTACAGAAGCAAACAGCTCCTTGAAGTCCACCTTCTCATTCTGCTGGTACCCCTTGGCTACAAGCCTAGACTTGTAGCGCTCGAACTTGCCGTCGGCGTCCGACTTGATCTTGAAGAGCCACTTGGACGTTATCGCCTTACGTCCCTCCGGTAGCTCCACCAATTCCCACGTGTCGTTCTCCTTAATGCTCTTCAGCTCACTCTCCATTGCCTTCTTCCACTCCTCGGCATCACTACTCTCCAAGGCCTCCTTGAGAGTTGCTGGTTCTCCCGGCATCTCCACCGGAGAGAAGAACACGAACGCACATTCCTCGTAGTCACTTTCCTCATCATCTCCGACCATCATTGCTGCTCCGGCCAGTGCTGACTTGCCCTGCTTTCCCGGTGCATCATAGGTCAGCCTATTAGAGGCTTGAACTCTCCTCTTGCCCCTTCCTTCCTCCTCAGCTGCAGGGACAAGAAGGCCTTGGCGTTGCTGCGGGGTGACTCGGATCCGTGGAGCACTCGTAGTGCGAGAAGGAAGTGTCGGTGCACGCTCGCTCACTTGCTGCACCTCCTCCTCTTCTTCCTCTGCATCCTTGGCGTCCTCTCCCCCATTCACAAGGGAAGATTGCCTTGTGGTGGTGCTACTGCTGCTCAGCTCCAAAGGCAGCTCCACATGCTCCAAACAGGAACTCTTCACCTCCCCAAACCGCACGCCTATCTTCGCCTCATTCTCCGCCTTCCAATCCTTATACATCAGGATCTCCATGAACTTGCAGTCCCTGCTCACCAAGAACTTCTTGGTGAATGGGTCCCAAAGAAGCCACCCCTTGCTGTTTTGAGCCATGCCCAAGTGCACGGCCCATATCGCCTTGGCACCAAACTTGTGCCGAAGATGCTTAGGTACGAGCGCCATGCACATGCACCCGAACACCCGAAGCATATCCACCTTGGGCTTCCTTCCGATCCACTCCACATAGGGCACCCATTTGTCTGCTCCCACTTGAGTCAAGGCTCTGTTCTTGGCCACACACGCGCTCCGCACCGCATCAGGCCAGAAATAGTCGGGTAGCCCGGCTTCAATGAGCAATTTGCAGCACCACCTCCGCGACCGCCACGGCCTCTTCCTCTCCCTCCTGCTCCTCTACCCTCCCGGCCATGAAGCAATCGCCCCACATGTGTCCACTCTTGTGGCAATAATGGCACTCGCCGTCGAATCTGTCGCGACCGCGTCCGTAGCTCTTGTTGTCGCTGCCGTATCCGCCACTCCCGCGGCCTCCATTAAAGTTGTTGCTGCCAAATCTTCCTCCTCCTCGTCCTCTGCCCCTTCCACGGCCGTACCCCCGGCCGATGCTTGCTGCCCCGGCGCCATCCGCACTCGCCAACTCACGGCGGCGGAAGTCCTCTTGAAAGATTGCTCGCTTCACGTCTTCAAGCGAGAGGCGGGGCAAGTCACGATTCAAGTTGATGATGAGCGAGGACCATGACTCTGAGAGTAAGGCCAGCAACTTGGTCTTCTTCTGGAGCTCACTATAGTTGAGATCCGCTCCTTGAAGCCGCGTCAACAAGTCGAAGAATTTCTGCACCCCTTCTTCCACCGGTTCATCTTCTTCAATTCGTAGTGTCGCCATTTGCCGTTCCAACACCACCGCTACCGCCGCTGTTGCAGGAGCGTGTACACCCTTGAGAGCAGCCTATGCCTTTCGTCCCTTCTCTGGTTCACGCTGGAATGGCTTGATGTGACGGATTTGGCTGCTCCCCAACGCTTGCCCAAGTAGGAGATAGCCTTGTGCGCTCTTCCGCACCCACGGGCTCTTCTCCTGGTCGTTCTCGGGACGCTTCTCAGTTCCTTCCATCACCTCCAGCAGGTCATAGTAGTCAAATACATTCTCCATTCTGAAGGACCATTCAGCAAAGTTTTCGCCGTTGAACTTGTCAAGCCCGAACACTCTTGGTTCATCCCTAGAAGGTCCAAGAGTTTTTTGGACGGACGCCATGGCTGAATCACGGGGTTGACCTTGTGCTTGGGGTCCTCCACTGCCTCCAGCACCTCTGTCACCCCTTTCTTCCGGTCCAGCCATCGTCGTAGCTGCTCCAAGGCGCTCTGATACCACTTGTTATAGTCACAATAGGCTCAAATGTGCCTAAAACGAAAAATAGAGTGCACAGTCGGATTTCTGCACAGCGGCTTCAAACGTTCATAGCGATCTGGTCACAGCTTTCACCAAGTATTGACGACACAGCGTCGGTTTGATCGAACGGCACTATGGCAGCCACTATAGTCTTAGAACACAAATTAGGAAGAGTTACGAGTTGGGAATGACTCCCAGCTCCTACAAACCCCAAGAGCCGAGGTACTGTGATGTGGAACAGTGCCACACTATCCCCAACCACGAAGGGTCTCGAAACTACCCTCCACAAGGGCCTACACCAAGAGAAATGTTACACTACCCAAAGTCATGTAACTATTCTCAATATCTTGACGTGTACCCTTTTCGCGGGCTTCGCGATCACTTGAATCTTGAAACCAAGGCTCTGGTTCTTCATCATAAACTCATCCTTGAGTTCTTCATGGGTCTCCTGCACACACCTGCGACACGCCGAACGTTCCACACACGACAAAATAGAAACCGTGCACGAGACACACGACAAAATAGAAACCGCGCACGGCACAACAAAAGACGACGTAGACACGCGACTAGCGATGACTCGCTATTGACTCGACACACACACATTCGACATCACGACGCATCATTCACACATTATTATAAGCATGAAATATATATTATATCATGCCCTCATACCATTCCACGCACACACGCATGCACGCACACGGACAACAAGCCGAGTGCAAAACCGTAGGGTTGCACCAACACTCCCCATCCCTCATCTCCCCATCCCTCATCTCCCCATGCCTCGCCTCCCCATCCCCCATCTCCCCATCCATCATCTCCCCATCTCTCACCTCCCATGCCTCGCCTCCCTATCCCTCATCTCCCCATCCCACATCTCCCCATGCCTCGCCTCCCCATCCCTCATCTCCCCATCCCTCACCTCCCCACGCCTCACCTCCCCATCCCTCATCTCCCCATGCCTCATATCTCCCCATCCCTCATCTCCCCATGCCCCATATCTTCCCATCCCTCATCTCCCCATGCCTCATATCTCCCCATCCCTCATCTCCCCATGCCTCGCCTCCCCATCCCTCATCTCCCCATCCCTCACCTCCCCATGCCTCACCTCCCCATCCCACATCTCCCCATGCCTCGCCTCCCCATCCCTCATCTCCCCATCTCTCACCTCCCCATGCCTCACTTTTCTTTCATCCCATTTCCCCCTTGCTCACTCTTCATCCTCCTTCACTCACCCCACTTGCCCCCTTCTCAATCTCACTCGCCCTGCATTCATCCCATTTCCATTACACATGCTCAAGATCATGACCCCTTCTATGATCATGTTTTCCCTATCCTCACTCACTTTCCCCCCTTCACTCATCCAATTTCACCTAGCTCCTTCTCTTTCCCTATGCACGCATCCCATTACCCCCTTGCTCAATGTCTTCCCTCTTCTATGATCCCATTTCTTGATTCCCCTTTCTTTCATCCCATTTCACTTATTCCCTCCTCTCCCCCCATCCCCATCTCTCCGCCCATCGCAGTGCACCCATCTCACCTCCCCTCCCTCTTACCACTTATTCCCTCTCTCCCCCAATCCCCATCTCTCCACCCATCGCCCGTCATTTTCTCCCCCTCCCCTCTCCTCTTTTATCTTCTCATTCACGCATCTCCCATCCTCATCTCCACTTCGAAACCTACACGTCTCACACTCCCGCACGCAGGGACCCTCGGTTCTGCCAGCATTACGTTCGAGCGCACAAGGGAGCGTGAGGATTTATTTCGCATGAAATTGAACGATCATGTCGAAGGTGAGTCCGACACGGATCTAGAGCCCTGCTATTCACTTCCCACTCAACCTCACATTCCCTTCCCCAGCACCCTCACATTTCCGCAGCCAGCTCCCTCCCTACAGCTACCTCGCAGCTCTCCACCTCTTCCCTACCGCATACTCCTAGCCCACTTCCCCTCCCCCACCACTTACTCCCATCTCACATCCTCTCCCACTAACCACTAACACCCGTCTCACCTCCCCTCTCCTTACCACTTGGTCCCATATCACCTACTCTCCCCTTACCACCAAGTCTCATCTCACCCTCCCTTCCCCTACCACTTACTACCATCTCATCTCCTCTCCCCATACCACTTACTCCCAGCTCACCTCTTCTCCCTCTACCACTTAGTCCCAACTCTATTCCCTCCCCCCACCACTTATTCACATCTCCCCTCCCATCCTGCAACCGATTACTTCCAGCTCCCCTCTGCTCCCTCTACCACTCAATCCCAAACCACCTCCCTTGTCTCGTGCCACCTTCACACTCTTACCACTTATTATCATCTCCTATCCCCCTACTACCACATCCACCAAACCACTTACCTCCCAATTAGTTTCCCATTTCACTCACCCCTTTCCCCCCTTTCCCCATGCGTTCATCCGTGATCCATCATGCTCACTCTTTTTCCCCCTTGCCCATGGTTGTATATTGCATGTGATTTGCAACCCATCAAGATGACGCAACCTACGGCGTCGGAACTTTGTCGCTTGTTTGATCAACGTCACCATACCGTTCACTTACACCTTCGTGCTCCTGTCTGCTATCTGCGCGTTGGGCTGAGTATTCTGATGCCGGACACAACCACAGCAACACTCTCTGATGTGTTATCGATTTACATGCTAGCAGCACCGCATGTCACACAGAGATTACTAAAAGCTGCTATGAATGCAGGTAATGCGAGGGAAATTGTCTGACCATCCATGGTGGGCACCATGTTTCATACTCACTCCCATAACAAACTACATATGTCATGCACTTCACGTGTGTTACGCATCTCCTACACGACACATCTCCTCACGTTTACGCTTTCTCAACTTCTCTTCCCCTCCAAATGTAGGGTCCGGGGGCGATTTGGCCGGGAAGATGGTAAAGTTGCATCTTGAGGCGACGGAGAGAGCGTTTTGGAAATGCATGGGTGGGGGACTTGATGGAGTGGACGATTTGCTCAAACAGCCAGATCAGACTTTGCATGGAGTGGCCTATAACTTTCCATTATGGGAGCTGGACAAAAACGGAGAGCTAAGGAGAGTCAGAAGTCGGGGTTCGGACGATTCGAATGTTCAGGCTTCGACAAACCTCCAGCTTTCTGATGGTGAGAGCCAAGTAGCTATGCATCTGTTGTCCAACGGTTGGTGGCAAAGAATAACCAATATAGTAAAAAAATCTAAAAGACATAGACCATGCTGGGTGCTTCACCACATATTACAACACGTATATTAATACATGTCCTCGATCAATGCATTAATCAGGTCATGTGTCAAGTCCACCTCCAGGACTTGTCGAGGAGAGAGTTAGTGACGCCTCGCCTATAAGTGTGGAACTGGGAAGAGGGGCTGCGCCGTCGCCGGGTGCAGAGCGGTCTCAAGATGTAGCTGCGGGGGTGGAGAGGGCACGTGACACATATAGGTCTTGGGATGGGGAGGGTGGTGCGGTGTCATCGCTGGAAAACGCGGGGGGGTGTGGAGGGGCAAATGCAACTACTCAGTGCAGGACGAGCGCTGAGCTTGCACGCGACGAGATTGGTCCAGATGAAGAGCCAGACAGGTACATTTTCACATCCACCCATCATCCCTGGCTTATCTCCTTTCGCACATTATTCCCCATCGCTCACCCATACTTTCCCCATCTCACCTCATCTCCCCTTACCACCAAGTCTCGTCTCACCACCCCTCCCTTTTTTGTGTGTGACGTGAGGGCATGATATATCCACCTACAACACCCTGCTATTCATGAAGTACTACTAATATTCATCCCGCCCATCCAGACCCGACTGTCTCAGTGTGACGCGGAAGCGTCGATGGCCGCGTGGGTGGCCATCCCCTCCGAGTTGGGATGATTTTCCAGGAGACACGGTTTGCTTCCTTGAACCGCGGGTGTTAGTGTCATTCTTTAGTGGCCGGGCCTTGGGTTGTTGCGCCAGGGTAAGCTGCAAAGGGGAAATATTGCTGGAGTCATGGAAGCGGGCTTGGGCGTGCATAAGACTCATGTGGTTGTGCAACGTCTGCTCTAAGAGGGTGGAGTTTTGGTCAGGTAGTCGAGAGAGGAATGTTTTACCACCTAGCAAGCGCGGACCACGCGGTCCACCATTGATGGGAAAGCTTGTTGGTGCTTTTGCCCTTGCTGGGTTAGGGTACCAGCAGATGTGGGAGGTTTGTCGCACTTTGGGCGTGCCAAAGCCATGGGACCTATTACAATCTCATGGGAGGGGATGAAGGGTTGTGGGGTGTCATGATCGAGCAAGCCAAGTGCTGTATGGAGCGTGTAAAAGCGAGTGTGGGGTGGGGTCCAGATCGCCGAAAGTGGGCGTGTATAGATGCAAGGTTCTCTCAGGTTCGTGAGGCGAAGTGGCGTACTGTATCGTTCATGGATCGCGAAACTAGAAAGATCTTCCACTACAAAAACGCCAAAAGGGAGAGGGACGGACCGAACTCAGTGGGCCTCGAGAAGATTGCTTTTCACGCGGGTATGGATGAGCTTACTGCAAGTGGATTTTGGGTGGATAAAATTGTCACGGACGAAGACAACTGTTACAAAAGTGCTGCTCGGGACAGGGGAGTGATGCATCAGATGGACTGGTGGCATAAGTGTGGTACTGAGATGCGCAGTTTTTGGACAGATGTACAGGATGCAACGAGGAAAGTGGGATCTGTAGTGGGGGCCAAATGTTGTGAAGATCTGTACGTTATCACAGTAGATAATCTATTGGCCTGGTTAAATGACAACTCCAGCGAGCGCTTTCATAAAGGGATGGGGAAGAAGAAGCTTGTACAGGATGTATGCTCTATGCGTGGAATAACGTTCAAGGACGTGGACCGTAAAGATGCCAAGTGGTTGCATCTTGAGCTACAACAGGTGCTGCTGCCTCGTGTTAGTCCCGATGCACGACCGATCGACATAGAAGTGCACAGGGGGTCGATCCCAGACTCAGTGAGTCGAGGTCGATCGAGCAGTGGTGAGGCTGTTCATATTGCTGGGACAGAGGAGGTTCTCCCTGACGGAGCAGTTGCAGTCGATATACAATGGCCGGATGTAGAGGAGCTGTGGAGCTATGATGCACACCTAGAATACGGGATACGCCCTGCCTCGCATGCATCATTGGTACTTGTACAGGCGTGGAACGAGGTTGAAGGCATCGACACAGAGGTCTCAGATGATGATCAAGGTAATGATGCTCCTGTATGTGGACAATATCACTTCCCCTTCCGCATACCCAACCCGCCCCCTTTGTATCCCCCCCTTTTGCTCCTTGACAATATATCCCCCGGAGCACTCTCGTTTTTTTCCACAAACTATTCCTTGTCAGTGCTCCCCATTCCCATTACCATTTTCCGTCCACAATCTACCCCACTCCATTCCATTTTCGCCCTTCAATCTCCCACTTACTAATTTGCAAACATGCCTGATCTTTTTTTGTTGTAAACCCCTTCTACTATGCCCTGACGCCGGCTCCTGCTCTTTTTCCGTTCTTCCCACACATTTGTGAGCAGGTCGACAAGCGCGGGCACTGTTAGAGGTGTTGCCCATCAGTGCGAGTGTGACCACACCCTCGACATCCAGGGTTGGCGAGGGTGTCAACATGGATCCGGCCGCGACAGTGGGGAGCCATAGGAGGTGGGGACGGCGTGCTCCACGATCACGATCATGGCAAGAAGAGGGTGGCGGGAGCCGTGGTGATGGTGAGGTACAGGCGAGAGGGAAGGGGGTTAGCGTGGTCGATAGACTTGCCGTGCACTTTTATCATTGCATGATGGTGCCTCACCTTGTGACACCCGTCTGCAGCCACACCCGCTCGACACAGAAGCAGCAGTAGCACGCTATTGTGGATGCAGCCGCAGAATGGGGTGTGGGGGCGGGAAGGGGGGAAACAGGGGGAAGGGTTTGGGGGAAACTAGGATCGAGGGTATGGGGGATACAAGCGGGAGGCAGAGATGGGGTGGGGTGGAGATGGGTGGGGCGGAATGGGGTGATTTTGAGGGGTGGGGCGGAATGGGGTGACCTTGAGATGGGGTGGGGCGGAATGGGGTGCTCTTGAGATGGGGTGCAGCGGAATATGGTGGGGAAGAGTGGGCCAGGGCGGAGTGGGGTGGGGCGGAGATGGGGGAAAGCGGAGTGGGGTGGGGCGGAGATGGGGGAAAGCGGAGTGGGGTGGGGCGGAGACGGTGGAAAGCGGAGTGGGGTGGGGCGGAGATGGTGGAAAGCGGAGTGGGGTGGGGCGGAGACGGTGGAAAGCGGAGTGGGGTGGGGCGGAGATGGTGGAAAGCGGAGTGGGGTGGGGCGGAGACGGTGGAAAGCGGAGTGGGGTGGGGCGGAGATGGTGCCTCCCATTGTGTCGCGGCGCCCTCGACAACGAGCCTGTGGCAGTTCGAACGCCCACACTCATATGATCCGCGTCAACCCCGTCCCTGGGGGCACGGGGATGGGATGGGGTTGACGGGGGAGAGGCGGGGATAGCGACGCGGGAGGTGGACAGAGGGCGGGAACTTCATGTTTACAGAAGAGCAACACGGATGGGGATGTGAGTGAAGGGGATATTTGAGGGATGGTGAGACTTGGGAGGAGGAGATGGGGTGAGGAGGAGATGGGGTGAGGAGGAGATGGGGTGAGGAAGAGATGGGGTGAGGAGGAGATGGGGTGAGGAGGAGGTGGGTTGAGGAGGAAATGGGGTGAGGAGGAAATGGGGTGAGGTGGAAATGGGGTGAGGAGGAAATGGGGTGAGGAGGAAATGGGGTGAGGAGGAAATGGGGTGAGGAGGAGATGGGGTGAGGAGGAGATGGGGTGAGGAGGAGATGGGGTGAGGAGGAGACGGGGTGAGGAGGAGACGGGGTGAGGAGGAGACGAGGTGAGGAGGAGACGGGGTGAGGAGGAAACGGGGTGAGGAGGAGATGGGGTGAGGAGGAAATGGGGTGAGGAGGAAATGGGGTGAGGAGGAGATGGGGTGAGGAGGAGATGGGGTGAGGAGGAGATGGGGTGAGGAGGAGACGGGGTGAGGAGGATATGGGGTGAGGAGGAAATGGGGTGAGGAGGAAATGGGGTGAGGAGAAAATGGGGTGAGGAGGAAATGGGGTGAGGAGGAGATGGGGTGAGGAGGAAATGGGGTGAGGAGGAGATGAGGTGAGGAGGAGATGGGGTGAGGAGGAGATGGGGTGAGGAGGAGATGGGGTGAGGAGGAGATGGGGTGAGGAGGAGATGGGGTGAGGAGGAGATGGGGTGAGGAGGAAACGGGGTGAGGAGGAGACGGGGTGAGGAGGAGATGGGGTGAGGAGGAAACGGGGTGAGGAGGAGACGGGGTGAGGAGGAGATGGGGTGAGGAGAATGGGGTGAGGAGGAGATGGGGTGAGGAGGAGATGGGGTGAGGAGGACATGGGGTGAGGAGGAGATGGGGTGAGGAGGAGACGGGGTGAGGAGGATATGGGGTGAGGAGGAGACGGGGTGAGGAGGAGACGGGGTGAGGAGGAGATGGGGTGAGGAGGAGATGGGGTGAGGAGGAGATGGGGTGAGGAGGAGATGGGGTGAGGAGGAGATGGGGTGAGGAGGAGATGGGGTGAGGAGGAAACGGGGTGAGGAGGAGACGGGGTGAGGAGGAGATGGGGTGAGGAGGAAACGGGGTGAGGAGGAGACGGGGTGAGGAGGAGATGGGGTGAGGAGAATGGGGTGAGGAGGAGATGGGGTGAGGAGGAGATGGGGTGAGGAGGACATGGGGTGAGGAGGAGATGGGGTGAGGAGGAGACGGGGTGAGGAGGATATGGGGTGAGGAGGAGACGGGGTGAGGAGGAGACGGGGTGAGGAGGAGATGGGGTGAGGAGGAAATGGGGTGAGGAGGAAATGGGGTGAGGAGGAGATGGGGTGAGGAGGAAATGGGGTGAGGAGGAGATGAGGTGAGGTGGAGATGGGGTGAGGAGGAGATGGGGTGAGGAGGAGATGGGGTAAGGAGGAGATGGGGTGAGGAGGAGATGGGGTGAGGAGGAGATGGGGTGAGGAGGAGATGGGGTGAGGAGGAGATGGGGTGAGGAGGAGATGGGGTGAGGAGGAGATGGGGTGAGGAGGAGATGGGGTGAGGAGGAGACGGTGTGAGGAGGAGACGGGGTGGGGAGGAGATGGGGTGAGGAGGAGATGGGGTGAGGAGGAGATGGGGTGAGGAGGAGATGGGGTGAGGAGGAGATGGGGTGAGGAGGAGATGGGGTGAGGCGGAGATGGGGTGAGGAGGAGATGTGGTGAGGAGGTCGGATGGGTTCAAGCACGGATGGGGAAAGGACGGATGGGGAGAGGATGGATGGGGAAAGGTGAGGAGAGATGGGGTGGGAAGAGGAGGGGATAGAGAGGGGGCGGGGGAACGCCGGGTGAGGCGGAATGGGGTGAGGCGGATTGGTGAGCTGGGCGACGGAAAGAGAGTTTGCGTGGGCGACGGGAGTGAGGGAGTGAGAGTGGACGACAGGGGGATTGCACGTCACGGTTGGTGGGGATGGGGAGATGAGGGACGAAGTGGGTATGCATGGGAAGGTGAGGGACGGGGAGGTGAGGGACGGGGAGATGAGAGACTGGGAGGTGAGGGATGGGGAGGGAAGGGATGGGGAGGCGGGGATGGGGTGAGGCGGAATTGCGTGAGGCGGAATGGGGTGAGGCGGAATGGGGTGAGGCGGAATGGGGTGAGGCGGAATGGGGAGATGAGGGATGGGGAGATGTAGGATGGGGAGATGCGGGATGGGGAGATGAGGGATGGGGAGGAGAGGGATGGGGAGGGAAGAGACGGGGAGGCGGGGATGGGGTGAGGTTGAATGGGGTGAGGCGGAATGAGGTGAGGCGGAATGGGGAGACGAGGGATGGGGAGATGAAGGATGGGGAGGTGTGGGATGGGGAGGCGGGGATGGGGAGTTGAGGGATGGGGAGGGAAGGGATGGGGAGGGGGAATGGGGAGTTGAGGGATGGGTAGGGAAGGGATGGGGAGGTGAGGGATGGGGAGATGCTGCGGAGAATTCTATTCTAAGGGAGAGCTGAATTGCGTGTGACGCACGGTCAGAGTTCTGGCAGTGATTCTGGACAGAGTGTTTGAATGACTTAATAGAATTCGAGCATAGTTTCACTAAGGAAAATTGATAGAACAAGATTATGGTACAAGCAAGGAGATCCCAAATAGCAAGCACAATGAACCTTGGAGAAACGTTCCTCGACAAACGCTCGACCTTTCCGAGTCAGCAACGCCAGGTGAAACGACAAGCACATGTGTCTTTCTCCTGAGTTGGCAGCTTCTCAGGTTTCCAACGTTCAGAGTTGTTTACGTTTTTACTATTAGTAAAAACGTGTTTCAGGTTCAGTTTCCTTACTGATTCGAAATCTCCTGGGGAGTACAATTTCCGAAATGCTCTGATTGGTCGAAATTTGCTGTTTCGCGATTGGTCGAAATTCGCGCACATTGCGATTTTTGGAGACAAGTAATTTTGTTCGACCAGAATTTCTCTGTTCGACGATGCCTCGTACGAGCTTAATTCAGTCGACCAGCGTTTCGTCGAAACGCCATTTTCTCCAATTTTGTCGACCCGCAAGGCCCGATTTCGACGCCGATTTGCTCCCCTCGACAAGTGCCTTGTCGACGGGCAGTTGCGTAGAGCAGAAACAACACTTCAATTTCGACAACTTAATCTTCTCGAAAATCGACCCGTCGAACAGAGATAAAAGTCCCTGAAGTCGCCGATGACCACGAAACGAACACCGTTGTGCTCCGAAAAGCATGGCCGACTTCGCCCAAGTGAGGGCGGGGCCTTTTCTCCTCGACACTCCCCTGCCCAGCTCGAGCTTGGGCCCCCACACACAAGGTCCACCCAGAACCTACTTAATAGAATACAAGGGGATATTTCTCTGGCGTGCATACTCCCGCACGCCGATCACCGCACCAGCCATGTTAGAGGACATGGCACCTACTGCTGCACTTCATCATTGTCGTCGCCAATTTCGACAAGGCGAACCTGGCCGACCGCGACAGAGCACCGGTTGAAGGCCGGAAAATGCAGCGCCTTAGTGAGGAAGTCTGCCGGCTGTTCGGATGTCGGGATGTATTCCAACGCAATCTTCTTGCGCTTCACCATCTGCTGCAGCCAGGCGTAGCGTCGCTCCATGTGCTTGAGGTTGCCCTTCAGCCCCAAGCCCTCAGCGACTGCGATGGCGGACTGATTGTCCACGTTCAGAGTAGTCGGCATCCCAGCATCGAGGAGCTGGAACTCGGCGAGGAGGAATCGAAGTCGACGAGCCTCCTTGCCAGCTTCAGTGGCCGCGATGTATTCTGACTACGTCGAGGACAAAGTTACGCACTTGATGCGTTGGCTCGTCCAGGAGACAGTTGCGCCGCCGAAGGTGAAAACGTAGCCATTTGTGCTGCTGCGCGTCTGCTTGTTGCCAGCGTCGTCCGCGTCCGCGTAGCCGACCAGTTTCAGAGTTTCGGGGCCGCCGCCAAACTCCAGAGGGAAATCGCGCGTGTCAGCGAGGTAGGTGAGGCAGCGATCGACCTCACGCCAGTGCTGGTCACTCCTCACTGTCAGACCGGAGCCCAGCTTGCTGCATGCGAAAGCGATGTCGGGCCGAGTTGTCGTGGCAGCGAACTGCAGCGAACCGACCTTCTGACGGTACTCCTCTTCTTCGCGAGACTGGAAGTCCTCATCGTCGAAAGTCAGCTCCGCGTAGGCGTCCACGGAAACAGGCGTCTTCGGACGCCGACCAGTCTGCTCCTCGTCGATGAAGCGCCTACGCAGCTTGTCGACGTAGGACTGCTGGTGCAACCACAGCTTTCGCGCCGGACGATCGCGCACGATTTCGAGCCCCAAATACTTCTCGACCGGGCTGATCTCGCGTAGCTCAAAGGCAGCCTCCAGAAGCTCCTTCAGCTCCTTCAGCATCGCAGTGCTGCTGCTAGCGGCGAGCAGGTCGTCGACGTAGACGAGCACCCAGCACGCCACTCTGTCGTCGCCGACTCTGAAATAAAGAGCCTCGTCCACCTGGCTCTTGCTCCAGCCTGCGCCAGTCAGCACAGCGTCGAGCGCCGAGTACCACAGCAGAGGACTCTGCTTCAGCCCGTACAAACTCTTCAGCAGCTTGCATACGCGGCCGGTACCATCGTTGTAGTAAGCCGGCTGATCCATGTAGAGCACGCGATCGAGCTTGCTCTGCAGAAACGCATTCTTCATGTCCAGCTGCATAAGGTGCAGATCGAGAACGGCGACGATGCTGAGAAAAATTTGCAGCGTGACGTAGCTCCCGACCGGTGCGTACGTCTCGTCGTAATCAGCTCCGTAGATCTGCGTGAAGCCTTTCACCACCAGGCGCGCTTTTTCGCGGGCGACCGTGTCGTTGACATGGTACTTCTTCGTCAGAACCCAGCGGTTCTTCATGACATTGACGCCGCGCGGGTGCTCCACCAGCTCCCATGTGCCGTTGGAGATGAGGCTTCGAATTTCCTCGTCCATCGCCGCTTTCACCGCCTTGCCTTTCCAGCTCGCTAACGCCTCCTTCACTGTCATGTTAGCGATGTCCCAGCGGTGCTCTGGGTCGGCGTGAATATCGGGGTCGAGCTCGGGCACATCAACATCAAACTGCGCATCGTCGAGCAGAGTGCTGTAGGAGATCAGCGGGAGGCACGCATGGTAGCTCAGCCTCTCGGGGGGCTTGCCAAAGTTGGAGCGGGTGGAACATCGAACTGCAGGCTTGTCGGCAGAGACTTCCATCACGTCGCTGTCGCTGGACTACTCTCCGGTCGACAGCTCCCCATCAGCGCCGCCGATGACTTCAACAACATCGTCCGATGTGCCATCGTCGAACTGCTGCCTCGTCGTCCGCTCCTCTGAAGCGTGCTCCTTGTTCGACGGCTCCTCTGAATCGCGCTTCTCGTTCGACGGCTCCCCTGTCGACGGCTTCTCTGAAACGCGCTTCTCGTTCGACGGCTCCCCTGTCGGCGGAGACTCCTCTCCAACGCCGACTTGTTTGCCGATCAGATTACGTCGACCGCCAGCGATGCCGATGGGCGGAGCCGAAGGCAACGCACCAATGCTCCCCTCATCGCTGGCGGCCGACGTCGATGCCGACTTAGGCAGATCGGTAGCGAGCGATGGGGGGGAGGCGGGAAGAGGAGGAGGAGGTTTCGACGAGGGCGGAATGGAGGGAGAAGGATCTTTAGAAGGACCATCGTCCTCGGATTCGAGCAACGAAATCACCGCTGGCGACGGACCCGACGGCGGAGAAATCTGCGTCCGCTCTGACGCGGGCCCGTGCTCCACCTTCCACTCCTCCAGAGACATCGCCTCATAGAAGATTGCCTCCACGGTTGTGACAATGCGGTTGGCGGTGAGGTCTAGCACCTCCCATCCCTTGCTCTCTGCCGAAACACCGGGGTGAATTCCCCAGCGTGCCTTCGGTGCCAACTTTCCGCCGCGCTGCTGCTCCGGGATCATGAACTGCACCATACAGCCCCACACGCGCGCGAGCGTAAGATCCGGCTTCTTCTCGAACAGCAGCTCGTACGGCGTCGTCCGCGGAGGAAGCGAAGCCCGTTCGAGGCAGTTGCGCACCCAGACGGCGTGGCGAAGGGCGAGGTGCCACCAGTGATGCTTCACCCCCATGTGAAGCAGCATCGTCCGCACAGCTTCGACGACCGTGCGCATCTCCCGCTCCGCCATGCCATTCTGCTGCGGAGTGTAGGGGCAGGTGAGGTTGTGGAGGATACCCTTGTCCTTGACCAGGTCGGTGAACGCCCTACCGAGGAACTCCCCTCCGCGGTCAGAGCGCAGCCGTTTCACCGACTTCGACGTCTGACGCTCCACTTCCTTCAGCCACTTCTCGAACACTCCGAGCACGTCGCTCTTTTTCGCGATCGGAGGGACCCACACAAAGCGAGTCTTGCGATCCTTGAGGAGGAGAAAATAGAGGCTCCCATCCATGGCGGCCACGCGAAAGGGGCCGCAGAGGTCAATGTGCACGACTTCGAGCAATGTTTTAGCGTCCGATCCCTTCTCCGGAAAAGTATGACGCGCCAGCTTGCCGCCGACACAGGATGTACACGGCACATCGGCTCCAGTTGACTTCTCGATGTCCAGGCCGATGGCAACTTCATGTTTCGCCGAACTCATAATCGTGTCAATGCCGACATGCGCGAGCCTCGCGTGCCACTTAACCGGCTTGGACTTCGTCGCCGATACGATCGTTCGCAGAGCAACTGCTTCTGTCGCAGATGTAGTCGATTTCGAGGAGCAGGGGCGGAGGTCGGTGCAGAGGACTCGGCCACTGTAGCGTGCTCGACCGAGCACATCTCCTGCAGCGGAAATGAGCAGCATCTCGTCACCCTCGTTCTGCAGCTTCACGCCGTTTTCCTTCAGCTGACCAGCAGACAGCAGGTTCGCGTGCACGCCCGGAACATACAACACGTCGAGGATGAGAATCGGCTTCCCGGTCTCCCCTATTAGAGCAACTGTGCCACGGCATTTGACGTTCTGAAGCGCCCCATTGAACCCGCGCACGTGACGGATTTCTCCTCCTGGCTTCATTTCGACGAAGGCCTCTCGCGTTCCCATCATGTGATGGGAGCAGCCACTATCGAGGAGAACCACAGTCGGATTCGCCTGCACAGCTGCTGCGACCGCCTGGAAGTCAGCTCCAGCCTCTGGCGCTAGCGAAATAGTTGGTTCAACCACGCCAACCATCGAACAAGAGGCTTCCGTTCCGCTCGAGGTACCAGCCTCTGATGTCGACGGCGATTTCGACGACGCAGGCTTCTCCTTCCGCGGCTTGTCTCGACGCCGACGATCATCGTTAGACTTCCCGTCCTCTGATTGACGAGCATGTTCGGACTTTCCGCGGCGTCCTCTCTGATCGTCGTCGGACTCGTCGCGGTCAGGGCAGTCATACGAGAGATGGTCAGGGTCTCAGCAAATGTAGCAGCGGCGTCCTCCTCGACGCGAACCACTGCTTCCGCGATCATTGCCCTTCGCAGACTTCCCGCGATCAGCGCTCTCCGTAGACTTGGTGTTGGATGACTTTCCGCCACCGCCTCCACCTCCGCCCGACTTCCCACGCTGCCCCGTCTGACGTCCCTGCTTCGTCGGAGTGACGTAGTTGGCCTGCGGAAGGAGCTCTGAAGACCGCTCAGACTCCTGCATGAACTCATCCTGGATGATGTGACTCGAAAGCGAATCCTCGTTCAGAGTCTCGCGCGCGCCGGGCATGATCAGCATCCGTCGCATCATATTGTAGCTCGAGGGGAGGCCATTGATGACATGCGTGACATACGACGCCACCGAGTACTCGAAGCCAGCCATCTGCATGTCGGCCAAAATTCGTCGCGCTCGATTGCAGTTCTCGGTCGCCGATTCCTGCTCGCCCATGCGAATGGTGGCCAATTTCTTCTCCAGTTGGCTGATGTAGAGGTCGTCGGTCGCTTTGTAGGTGCGCATGATGTACTGCCACGCTTGGTAGCCGGCGTCCACACGAAGTCGGCACGGCTTTAATGCGACTTGCACCAGTGGCGAACAGCACCGCGAAAGGACCATGAAGGTCAGAAGGTGAGCAGCGCGAAATTCCGCCAACAATTCAGAGTCTTCTTCGTCCGGCATCTCCACCTTGCCGTCAACGAACTTCTTCAATCCGGCGATCTCTAGCTGGGGTTCGATTGACTCAATCCATGTGATCAAGTCATCTCGTCCTTCGAGCGGCTTCGGCACAGCGATCTTGTCCGGTGAAAATTTGAAGTAGCCGTACGCCGGAGCGATGCCTCCGTCTCGACCAGCCGACGCATGAGTCGCCGAAGTCGGCCTGGCTCCACTCCGCTGAGGAGATTGACGTTGACCATCGATATTGCCGTTCGAGCTGCCTGCAACCGCCGTCGACCGCAGCACTTGCGCCTGCATTCCGCCAACGCCGAC